TGAGTAACCTGAAAACCACTGACCGACCTATTTATTTATGGGTTGGTTAAAATTACCGGCCCGATAATAAAAATATCGGCGAAAAGAAGCGAGTCGAAAGTGGGTCGATTGGCCGATAATAAAACCAACCCATATCCCACCCTAGTAATTTCAATCATGAATTAATAGCACTACCCAATTTTACCGGGCTATTGACGCACGAAAAATCTCTCCCTTTGTTTTGTGAAAGTCTCAACGAAGTAGATATCACTTAAATGTGTGTCTTAATTATCTCTAAATCACAAGCAATGTTTTTAAAACCGGACCGGACATTGACCCAGCTAGCCAACTGGGTCACGGTTGGACCGGTTCAACCGAGGTTCAACCGAGTTTTTGAATATTTTTATTTTAATATTATTTATATTTAATTTAATATAAAAATATTGTAAAAATAAATTAAAAAAAGCCTACTAATTATTAAAAATCAACCTAAATATTCAATTCAACTAATTATCCAGCAATAAATATTAAATATTGAAGACCAAAAATACAAATGTACATAACACATTCCATAATTGAAATTAAAAAAGTGAAAGAATGAGACAGTGAAAAAAAGTCTAAAAAATTAATCGAACCAAAAAAAAAAAATGAGTAATACAAAGAAAGAGAAAATGTTCTGACTAACCCACTCCCCAAGCCCCCTCTCTATCTCTCCTCTCTCTTTCTCTCTCTATATCTCTTCTTCTTCCGTCTTACAACCACAACCACCCAGTTCCACTGCAACTTATTTCTTCTTATTTTCTTCCTATAGCTACAGTCCAAGATTCATCCCAGCCCGTATATCCGGCCCCCTCGGAAATCACAGCCCCTCTTTTTGTCATTCTTATTCTTTTATTTTCTCCCCTTTCCGAACATCTCAATCAAGATTCCTCACCCACTGCCTAGATTTTCTTTTTTTTTCTTGGTTTGTAAGAACCGGTCCTTCAACGGTTCACCCGGTCCGACCGTAATTTTTTCCGGTTCTTAGACAGTGACCCGGTTTTTTGATACTTACGGGTTTATGTGTTCAACCGGACCGGACTACCGTCCGGTTCCCGGTTAAACCGGTCCGACCGGCCGGTCCGGTCCGGGTTTCAAAACATTGATCACAAGTAATCTATCTATCTATCTATATCTATATCTATCTATCTATCTATTCTATACTTATAAAAGTATAAATAGTTTGGAGGTTTCTTTCCTTTTTTTATGGACAAAATTACCCTACAAAATAACCTTTAGATATGGGATTTATTGGACAACAAGGTCATTTAACTATCTACTTTGATATCAGTAACTAATAGTAATTCTTCCTTTAATAATTGAGTTCAAATGAATTTATATTCAAAAAACACACAATTAATTAAATATGACATTTAAAATCGGCAAAAGAAATACACAATGATGTACTTTAGCTAGATAAAATCTAAAGTATAATTAGATAATATTATTTTATAATCAATTTCCTCAAAAAAATAAAGTTATAATTAGTCAGTAATTTATCGTATATTAATCAGTAGCTTATTGTATTTTAAAAACAATACGTAATAGTGTAATTTAATTTTAGTACCATTTTATGTAGGTAATGAAAATCCCTATGAATATATTATAGAAAAAAAAAGATAACATTTAAAGGGTAATTACATAATATCATGTTATAATTAATTTCCTCAAAAAAATTAAAATTACAATTTAATCAGTAGTTTATTGTATACTAATTAAAGTAACTGAGATTTTTGATTTCACTTGACAAAAACACATAAAAGCAATAGACAATAGAATAGTGTTTACCAATCAAGACAAAAGTAGATGAGACGGATTCATGAATTTACAAAAAATATGTATTAATGTAAAGTCTAAATGACACTCAATACAAGAAACTCAACGGTCTTTCTAATTTGTTATGGGTTTTAATTTTACGGGTTAAATATATTTTGCACCCCTGAAGTATAGCTTATGTACCTCTTACTGCTTAAAGTGTCATTTGTAACACTTATCTGCCTCAACAGCAAGTATTTATATTTTAAAATTCAAATTATAATAAACATAACAGTCTGATAGTTATTGGATCATATAAACCTTAAGTAACTAAAATTAAATT